AAATCTAAAATTTAAACAATAAAACACAAAATTATTTACTTTTCTTAAGTTGGCCCTGTGATCGCATTAATTAAAATCTTGATTGGGCAATTTTTTGGGCTCTTACAACTAGATTCTTATTTCATTCTCATGATGTATTATATTACTTACATTAAAAAATTAATTGTATAAATGTATCACTAATGAATTAGTTGTTGATGTAATGATCTCATGTTTGAGTCTTCATTTAATATACATAAATGATAAGAAAGCATTTGATTCAAAGACAATTCAACAAAAAAAAAAAGTTGTACAAAAGGCAAATTTTCAATTCAAGATCAATAAATTAAGGAAGGATTTTGGATACATTTGATGTCCCTCTAAAAAATGTGTGGAGCTTACAATTAGAGAAGTTGTAGTACCAAACATGTTTCAAGTCAAAGTCATATATTATTATGCACTTGTTCTTTAAATGGTAGAGGCAAAAACCATGAATAATCTAAACCATAGCATGTTAAACATGTTATTTGGGAGCTAGCTTATGGGTTTTAATTAAAATTTAAAGCTTTAACTGATAATATATGATGTTAAGAGAGATATTGAGATTTATTTATTTTATGAGAAATCTTGAAAATGACAGGAGCAAGTGATCGCATATTTAAGCGGGTCCCTTGAAACATTCTCTTAAAAAATTTCATATTTTCCAAAACACCATTTAGGAATAATGGTTAATCTACACGTGAACACTTTAGGATATTACAATTGTGTTTACATTTTTTAGTGTTTCTTTTTAGACTCAATGGTATATATCTTCTAGTGCTAATTGTCATGTTATATTCTTAATTTAATTTATGGATATTTTTACATATAGTTGTGGCCTAAGATACAAATACCTAGATTTATCTAATGTTATTTTTAATTATTAACACAAAAAATAGTGCTCATGATACTATTTTATTTTAATATTAGGAGAGATAATAGACTTGATAAATATCAAGTATTTGTTTTTTATTAGCATAATATTATTGTCAACATTTTTTGACAATATTTCAATAGCAACTCTTGGAGATTGTACTTATCAAATTGTAATAAATATTATGACAAACTTCAAAATTGATAGTTATTATAAGGAATATCACTTAACATGAGAAGCTTGTAAGAGGGCATGTTCCTATACGTTTTTGGCAAAATTAGGATGAAGAACACAACTTTTGCTAACTATTTGAAGAACAAAGTCAATTTTCAGAGGTGAGCACAAATAATTTTTATTGGGAACCCTTATATTGTGAAGACAATTGGTATTTCAAGTAGCTATAACATCATCACCAAAAAGTACATGTTTTTACCCAATAACAATCTTGATGTAGTTCTTAATACAAGATAAAAATTCTTCTTTAAAAGATGCATCATCAAAGTTAATATATATATATATATATATATATATATATACATATAAGAATATATATATATATGTATGTATGTATGTATGTATGCCTATTAATAAATAAAGACACTTGGGTGGTTCAAAAAAAAATATCATTATGCTCTCTTCATTGCTTAAAACAAAGAATGACCATCCCAGTGAAAAGCAATATTTAAAAATGAAAAGGGATGGGCCATATTTTAGATTTAGTGAGTGTGGAGTGATTGGTCATAATTAAGTTACTTAAAAAGTTAAATATCAACAATCAAATTAAAATAAATAACATTTTAATTTTAATTACAATATAGGTAAATTTGTTTAATTGCTGTAAATAATGTAATTCAATAAGTCATGTCGATATCAATGAAGTAAAGCATAACTTCCACCTCAATAGTAACTAGCATAGGAAATAAAAGAAATAAGTACCATGTAGCAAATACAAAATACTTTATAGATCATTCTCAGTCATTTGTTTATAAGGCTTAAGCTACTATATTTTTACATTCTTGTTTATTTTGCATACAATAATATATTTGATTATATGTTGTACTATATTTACTGTATAAGTTAAAGTATCTTTATACCTTTTATTATTTTTTAATTATTATTTAATAGTTGCATTTTCATTTCATCAAAACATTACCTTAAACACTTGTCCTCACTATTCCTCTACTCTCAATAAGATATCACATTGCAATGTCAATTTAATTTTAGTAATTATTTGCTTCCTTGTAATTCACTCACAATGTTATGGAAACTAATTTGAATTAATATTGTGTAGACAACTAAAAAATATGTTCTCCATGAACTTCTTGTGTATTATCTTCTAACAAATTTTTTTTTAGAAAATCATATTGGCACTATGTCTCATGTATCCTCAATATACATTTTGCAATTATATTTTTATATCTATGTCATAATTTTCACTTGATAATCTAAAATAAATACTTAATCTTAACACATCTTCCATCATCACAATGCACACTATAAATGCATTATAATGATTTGCATTCTTGAAGTTATTGTTACCATTTGTGTAATCATCAACAAATCATTTACTTGTGATCATCTCTATGAACTTTTTAATGAACTTTAATGAAATCTCTACTCTTATCTTTGGAGTTGAATACAATGGAGTAACAATTATTCATTACATCATTAACCTTAAGAGAAATTGAAGAGTTCAAGCCCTAGAGAAGTATTAGTTAGAATCATTAAAAAACTATTTGAAGGATGGTTGATAGACCCTCTAAAAAAGCTCATAAGTATTAAATCATTTGGTTACTTTATGACATCCAATGCCCTATATATGACTCTAGAAAAGTAATACCTCATTGCATGAACATTTGTATGAATTCAAAAGTTAATAAAAAAGAATACATTTCATAAAAGGTAATGAGGACAAACATGGTTTGACCCTTAGGCTTGAACTTCATTCAAACTTAGTTTAGAACCTCTATTAATATGAAACAAATGTTCACTTAGGACTCAACTTGAATGAGACTTGAAAATTGTTTGAACCTAGTTAAAAGTTAACATAAAAACCCTTTTTTTAGCGGCATTTACATACATAACACCAAATTCCTATGTATTTACATATCTAAAACTTAAACTTTATTTTTTACATTTATATAAATAAATATTTTATATCACATAAATAAGATGACCATTTTAACTTTTATAAGGTAAAATACATCATTTCATGCATAGATTCAGTGGCATGTAGTGAAGTTTATGTGTTCGACATGTAAATACAAAGGAATTAAGAGGCATGTATGTAAATTTTCCTTTTCTTAAAGCTAATTGTCAAACCCTAGGCTCAAAAATGAAGTTTGAACTTTGCTATAACATGGTTTGAACCCATCATAGGTGGTACAAACTTTGCTAGGACCAAATTTTTTGTTAGAATAAGATTCAATTCTTACATTATGAGTTTGAATAGGTTTGAATCTTATATCATTGATTCAAAATAAACTTCTAACTCGTGTCGCGTGCCCCGACCTGTTGGTTGGCATCCACGGTATAAGACCCACCAGATCAGGGGTTCGAATACTCTCTGGCACAGTTGGCCTTGAGGATGTGGTACTCAAATTGTTAGACACGTTAAGGGTGGCTGGAGCCTCGTATAATGGCATTTGACCATTTCTTTTTAAAATAAAGGAAAAAAAAGTTCTAACTCATCTCAAATTTTGTTTTAAATCATATATTTTTCGAGTATACATCTTATGCAATTTATTATTTGATTTGATGAAAATAAATCTTAGGTAATGTGTTTATTAAGTATTTTAGATAAATGAGAAATATTGTACTTGTTATACAAAT